TGCAACACCAGGAGTATCACAAATGCGATGCCGGCCTTTAAGGAAGGAGTACGCTCTTTTTTTTTTTTTATGCTACACATAAACTATGCCGCTAAGCCTGCGAGGCTTCCTGATATTGCTTTTATTTTATTTAAACTGTAAATCTTCAATATGTAGAATGCTTGCACCATTCACGTTCTGTCGGAACGCACCTAAGTAGGAGCAATACTTCGGTATTCGCTATGTGCGAAGTACATGGTGGGGGTATAGTGAAGCGATCGCAGCGCTTATCGTGGCAGAAATACGCAACAATCCGGGAAAGTAAAGTCAATTTGCACGGAGTTCGTAATAAACAAAAATTTTTAAAATGCCTATTAATAGATGTTGTTGTGTTGTGAATTGCAAAAATAAGGGCACAAATAGTCTGTGTATATATTTCCTACATTGGACTGGAAATTAAATCAAAGAAATAAATGGATAGATGCCATAAAAAGAAATAAGTAAGCGAAATAACCTTAAATTATGATCAATTTTATTTGCGCTATATATTTTATGTGATATTCATTATTGTCTTTATTATTTTAGTGTTGATGGGTCGCCATGGTATCCCAAACCTGACGACACAATTTGTAGTGAACATTTTATGGGAAACAAAAAATCAGACGAGGAAGAAAATCCGAGTTATGCTCCTACGATATTCCCTGAAATATATCGAAAGAGGAAGGTTAATGATTCACAGGTCCTAGCTAGATATACACGCTTGACAAAACGAAGAACCACAAAAGTCTCAGATACCACATCAAGTCAAATAATAATTGAAGAAGGGAGTGAATTAAATCAAACTCAACCTTTTATGATCGATCAAGGATGTCAAGTCAATATGTTTTCTGAATCGAAATTAAGAGATACAACTTTTATTTGTATTAGATTAATTTACAGTGATCACTGTGATGCTGAAATCCAACATCAAGAATTTTAATGACAAATAATTCAAGAAAGAAAGATAAAAGCTGTGGCACTGACAAAAAATCGTATGAGGATCAATCTACCGAAACAAAAAGTCAAGAATTTGTTGGTATTTCATCAATAACAAATGATCAAGAACTCCTAGATCTTGCTGGTGTGTCATTTAGCAATTTTGAGTTTTTATTAACAAGATTAACTATGTAGTCCAGGCAACGAATGCTCAAAAACAGGTATAGAGGGAATTGCTTAGAACACAATTTTTGACTTCGTGACTTTGTTAGGACTAGTTAGGAGGTAAACATCCCGCCCGTAGCCCTTAAGCCGGGGTGGGGGGGGGGGGGCTTGAAGGTCCCATTTTTAGGTTTTTCGCATATATCTCGAAAACTATGCATCCTAGCGACATGAGACTTTCACAAAAGTGAAAGCTGATTAAATTTGCTACAAGTCTTATTCAGTCAAATTTTTTGATATCTTGTATAGTTTTCGAGATATCCGCTCTTGAAAGTCTGTAATTATGGAAAAAAAATTTGTTCCCATTTTTGCTCTATTTGACCGGATAACTCTTCAACAATGCACCCAAAAAATAAATGCCGGCCGTAGGGTTGTAGAGCATTAAATTATCTTCAATAATAGAAACAATTGCCTTTTTTTTTATTTAAGGACAAAATTGTTAGTGTAGTAGACGTATGGGGGCGGTACGGTGGGCACTAGGCCGCGTACTCAGCCCCCACGCGCGGGCCGTCCTGCGCACGTCTGTGGGGTCCTCGCGATACCCCGGGAGACCCCTGCCGCGGAACCTCGGCAAGGCCGGGAGGCTGCTAGGAGACGCGGAAGAATCCCTAAACGGGGATTCCGCGGCTTCGCACTAAGCAGCTTAGAGGGTGTTCGCAGGGTTTTTAGCGGATATTATGCCGTAAAGCGCCCGTAAGGGTTACGGGGTCCTCAGTGGGCAGCCACTGCTGGAGCTCGTAAGGCTTGCGGGAGCCAGATAATTTAATGCTCTACAACCCTACGGCCGGCATTTATTTTTTGGGTGCATTGTTGAAGAGTTATCCGGTCAAATAGAGCAAAAATGGGAACAAATTTTTTTTCCATAATTACAGACTTTCAAGAGCGGATATCTCGAAAACTATACAAAATATCAAAAAATTTGTCTGAATAAGACTTGTAGCAAATTTAATCAGCTTTCACTTTTGTGAAAGTCTCATGTCGCTAGGATGCATAGTTTTCGAGATATATGCGAAAAACCTAAAAATGGGACCTTCAAGCCCCCCCCCCCCTCCCCCCGGCTTAAGGGCTACGGGCGGGGACTTTTGATATGTTTACCTCCTAACTAGTCCTAACAAAGTCACGAAGTCAAAAATTGTGTTCTAAGCAATTCCCTCTATACCTTTTCGTTGCCTGGACTAATGAAAAAATGTACAGTTTCCACTAAAGACCGACTTCTGATTTTTTTGATAAAAATTAAAACTGGCTTGACATTTTCAGCATTGAGTGTGTTATTTGGTGTACAAAAAAACCACAATCTCACGTATATTTCATTCGATCTTACAAAATCTAGCTTGTTCAACTGGTAATTTAATCTTTTGGCCGAATAGAGCCACCGTACAAGCAACAATGCCCAAGTGTTTCAGTCCAGATTACATCAATACAAGAGTTATTATTGACTGTACTAAATTCCGAATTGAAATCCGACAGTATTTAAATTATTATACAATATATAATAATTTTTATTTATCTTTAATTTACTATATTTACTAGAAATCAATAAAATACAAACTGATGTCATTATTTGGCATAATCCCGGAAAGTTGCGCATTGTAGGTGGCGCTCTGTCGTGCACATAGCGAATACACCCCGGCAAACTTCTTGAGCTACGACCACAGACAAGGAAACCTGCGCAGTAGCAAAGGAGACCCGGCACTTTTCATAGAAAAAATGCTAAACTTGTACACAGTTGAATTTGGTCTCAAAATAAAGCCAAAATTACTTGCTACATAAAACTACTTTTGCCTTATTTTTAGTGAATCGTGGAAAGAAGTTATTTAATGATTAATATTTTTTGATATGGAAACCCTAAATCTTCAAGGGACAGAATTTTACTTCAAAATATTACTCAAGTGACTGTAAAAACCATGATTCCTTTGCTTTTTCTAAATAAAAAACCAAATGTCAATTTGACAATCCTAAAATACAAACAAAAAATCATTCGCATTTCGCATCCGCTCCCGCGTACTGTGGTGAATGTTCTCTGCTGTGATTGCCTTTTTATCCGTTATTTCTCTTGACGACCCGGCTACTTAGAGAGGTTATATTGACAAATCTACGTATTTGACGTTGACAGCTAGCTGCTGATGACAAATATTGCCAGACTACGTTACCCAATTATGAAACACAGATAAAAAAATTAAAAAAGTATACAACTTTGGCACAAAATGCCGGGTGTCCTTTACACACAAAAACGTCTATTGCGGAAGTTTATTTGTCTATAGTTTTGCTGAAGAAGTGTGCTGCTACTTATATACTTGGAAATATCGAGGTGGCAGTCATTTGCCAAGGTAACCAATTTGATCCTGGTGAACCTTATGGTAGCCATACACACTACGAGAAATCGTTACGATTAGACTGTCCGACCGTCCGAACGGTACCGATAAATCGTAGCGTGTATGTAATACCGGCCATACACACTACGAGAAATCGTTACGATTAGACTGTACAGTCCGAACGGTACCGCTAAATCGTAGCGTGTATGTTATAAAACTGCACAGTTTCCTATACTAAACGAAATCGTATAAACTGTTCCGTTCGAACTGTACAGTCTGATCGTAACGATTTCTCGTAGTGTGTATGGATATCATTATGTAGAGTGACTACACACATATACACACAAACACATACACACTCACACACACATTAATCAATAACGTTTTTGTAATCATCCGGGGTCTCGAATCGAACCACTGCCTTTCATAACACAGGCATAGCCTAGCCTATAATATATAAGTATATTTATATAGAAAATACATATTAAACATCCACGACTAGAGTACAAATGCTCGTATTCATCACACAAACATCTGCCCCCACCGGGATTCGAACCCGGGACCTGTCGAGTCGGCGACACCATGAAACCCGGCGTACAAACCACTCGGCCACGGAGGTCGTCAATAAAAGTTATCTGGCAGTATTAATTTCAAATTGTTTACAAATACGGCAGAAACAGACTTAAGAAACGCGACGCCACGCCACGCCATGCGTGGTGAATCCAGAATCACATTATAAACATCCGATGCGACGCGCCATAGAATAGATAATGCGCGTGGCGTGGAGTGGGGTGGCGTCGCGTTTCAGTAGTCTGTTTCTGCCTTTATTCTCTACAACATACTTAAGACTCAGTCCTCTGTAACCTTAGAACGTACCAATATCGTTCGTTTGCAAGTCCAAAGTGTCATTGTCAAATGTGTACTGATTTTTAGTCCGGCAGGCGAGGAAGCACTGTTGGGTTTTTAGTGGGTAGCCCCCCCCCCCCCCCCTCGTCCCGAGCAGCCGCTGAGCCAGTTTGGCTGAGCGGGTGGCCTTTCATAACACAGGCATAGGCATAGGCCTAGCATGAAAGTCAGGGGACCTACTTATAAGACTATAAGATAGCAAAGCATTCCTGGTTTATTTTAAGATGATGTTTTTTTTTATGTTATAGGTGGCATACGAGCGGACGGCTCATCTGATGGTAAGTGATCACCGTTGCCCATGGACACTTGCAACACCAGGAGCATCACAAATGCGATGCCGGCCTTTAAGGAAGGAGTACGCTCTTTTATTGAAGGTTTTTGGGTCGTATTGGTCCGGAAACACTGCTGGCGACAATATATTCCACAGTTTTCACTATATTTTTTTACCACGTACGACACATATGGTAAAAAAAATATAGTAGTTTATAATAGTATATATGATATTGTAGTAGTAGTTGTAAGGTTTGATGAATAAACATTATTATTATTATTACTCTAGCGAAATATGCAGAACAATTTGCAGGAAAGCCAATAAGAAGTACTCACCCAAAGTCTTGCCTTTCTCGATGGAGAGCATGGAGTCATCTGTCCTTGTCCGGCCGAAGCCAAGAGCCGCGCCCGTGGCGTCCTGCCCGAGCTGTCCTCCATAGAAGTCCCCGAAGGCAGTCGCGGTGCCGAGCAGTCCCGAGCGATCCTGCAGCGCTGCCTTCGCTTTCTCCACACTCTGCTTCAACTGTTCGAAGGTCGACTGGTGCAGGCGGTAGGGCGGCCATTCTGTCGTCGGCCACGGCTCCTCCTTCAAGGCACTGCGTTTTAGCTCGAGGGCGCCTGCGTACGAGCAACTGCTTTCGTACATCGCAACTTTGCTGAGTGCCGACGCACACCTCAGACCGCGGAAGTCGAGCCTGCGGACACAATGATAATAATATAATAACAATGTTTCCCACATACACACACCAATGGCATACGATAGGGTGTCATACAGTATATTGCTTCAGAAACTATATAATACTATATAATTCATTTTATCTATATTGCGATACCCTGACAGGGTTCATGTTAGGTACTTTATGCATTTTGTAACTTGTAACCGTCCATGTAACCACATGACTGCAATAAATTGAATTGAATTGAATTAAAATAAAATACGTTCCGGACTTATTTTAGCCGCGGAGAAGAACTAGCGAAATAGATTCCACAACAATCATGAAATAACGATATCACTCAGCGCTGTCTTTACACTAAATAAATATTTCCAACACTCACACCAATTAGCCTAGCCACAAAGCAAGCACTGTAAGGCTTGTGTTATGGGATGCTAGGGTAACGGATAATAGTATGAGTAATACAAATAAACCACGCAAAGAAAACGGCTCATGCTACATGATTCTATGGTTTTTTTCGAGTGTGTATGCTGTTGGTCGCAGATGACCTTTACAGCGTCACCGGGTCCCGGGACGGCCAGATCCCAACGGGACCTTAAGCCGAGAATTGGCGAGTGCCTCTAGAGTATTCCAGGCGGATGGCATCTCCCCACGGGGTCTATTCTCCGTCAGGAGCCTCTAGACCACTCGATCCTAGACGGCGTCTCTGAGACTCGGACCTCGGCTCTAGTTAGCCGTTGTCGTGTTGGGCGGGGAAAACGCCCAGTTAGACCGGGTCTTCGCACTAGTGTTGGGTAGGACACGACTTGAAAAAGAGTTTGTAAGAGTAGCTTCTTTTTTGTACTGAGCCAGTACAATGTCCCACTTCAAATGAGGCGAGGCGTACTGAAGCTCGGCAACACATTTGAAGTGACGAGTACAAATATGACATTGAGGCGTACAGAAGCTCGACATTACGTTTGTGTGCACGAGTAGCACCTGGAGCGTAAGTTCTGAACGCAACCCTGGGCTGCGTTCAATACCTACGCTCTGAGTGCAACTTTTACCCTGACGTTTAAATTTTGACATAAAATGTATGAAGCTAATGTCAACTTAGATATTTGTTGCACCTGGAGCGTAGGTTTTGAACGCAACCCAGTGCGAGAGACAAGGATTAGGAAGGAGAGATACAGATACAGATGGATAGTGCGTAGAGGACTTAAATGAAATGTCATGCCTCGCTCTCTCTCAGACTTACGAAGAGTGAGCGAGTAACGAGACGCGACTATCGCGACATTTAATGTGAAGTAGTACATTTAAAAATTTTGAGCCGCTCTTACATTTTGACGTCATGTCCGGGACAAATGTACCGCCTCTTGTAAGTCCTACTCAACACTACTTCGCACTCTTATCTTACGGGTGCGGTGTCTGCCTAGTGCTTAGCTAGTGTGTAAGTTTGCTAGCTGTGTAGTATTGGTGTGGGAGGAATCGGACGCCGCGTGTTGCCGCGGGTGATTTCGTCGACGGGTTAATGATGTGCGTGACTCTAATGTCAGATTAAAATAACGTATTAAAATTCGTTAAAGACTATGACAAATTAATAACGCACTATGAAAAGATCGTCCTTCACAAAGTACCGCCACTACAAGGGTTGCCAGATTGAGAAATCAAAATTTCTGGACAATATTATGAAATATCTGGACATTAGGATTTTTGGCTGGACAAAAAAATCAGCATGACTAAAAAAAAATCTTATTATTACAAAACAGAGGAACCTTAATTAAACAAAATTAATATGAAATAACTTTTTTGCCACATACATTAATCAGCATTATCATATTTTTTTTTTACTATTACAAAACAGAGGATCCTTAATCAAACAAAATTAATATGAAATCACTTTTTCTGCCACATATATTTCGGCGGCGGGCGGGAGGGTTTCGAGGGCGGGTCGGATGGGCGGGAAAGTCCCGGGCATAGATAGCGAGAGACCGCAGCGGAGCCAGTGTTGCCAACTCGGTGGAAAAACCACTAATACTGGTGGTTTTTAATTTTAGCTGGACATTTTGCCTAAAACCGGGACACTGGACAACGTGTAAATTAAATTGGTATGACATTATTTATTAATGAGATTAGATTATATTTGATATTAATTGTACTTAGTTGACATTAATCTCTTTAATTTCTTGGAATGATATTAAATTATTAATTTGACATGATTATTTATTTTATTATTTTTTGGTTTTTATTTTTCTTTTCTTTTTTCTTAATTTTGTTGAATTGGAATGTATGTTAATGTTTTTATGTATGACTTGCCGGCGTTTTGGATATTTCTGTAAGCCGGCATGTGTTACTGAATAAATAAATAAAATAGCTGGACAATCCAGCCAAGTCCAGCCAATCTGGCAACCGTAGCCACTACTGACGCTATGAGCTCGAGCATACCCCTCCTGCACTGATTGCCGAGTCGTAGAACTGTCATCTATGCGTGTGTAAAATATTTTTTATGTTTAATGCGATTCAAATAAGAATTGGAAAGCCAATTACCCCCATGTTGAGGAGCTCGATGGCGCAGGTGGCTAGCGCGTTCGGCTGCGATCGTTGAAGTTAAGCAACTTTCGCAGTGGTCAGTCATTGGATGGGTGACCAAAAATTTATTATCTCGAGCTCCTCCGTGCTTCGGAAGGCACGTTAAGCCATTGGTCCCGGCTGCATTTGCAGTCGTTAGCACCCACCAATCCGCACTGGGCCCGCGTGGTGGGTCATGGCCCAATCTCCCTATTCCATCCATAGGGAAGGCCTGTGCCCCAGCAGTGGGGACATTAATAGGCTGATGATGATGATGATGAATGACCCCCAACTGTCAAATGTCGCTTGAAAAGTACGGTTTGCAAAAAAAAAACTTGTACCCTTTTTTTAGCTCTCTGTTAATTCTAGAATAAAAACCACACATTTGTAAACAAATAATAACATTAAATAAAACTAGTTTTTACGGGTTAATGCACGAAACTTTATTTATTTATTGACGTTTCGTAGCCTTTACAGGCTACGTCGCGTCATCAGAATCAAACTTTTATTTAATTTGTCGAGCTACCTTCGAAAGACTTTTATTGAGCGTTCGGTTATTTCATTGTTCGATTTTAGAGTTTTATTGTCTATGTATGAATTTATTATTTAATTTACTTAATAAAGTATTTTATTTAAAATTCCTTTTTGTAATTTTGAATTTATTTATTGACCCTTACTACCGTAAACAATAACAAATATTGAGAATTAATATTGGTTGATATTTTTGTTCATTTATTGAGCTTTAGCTATGAATGGTTGATAACCTAAACCGTCAACCAAATGTCACTTTAAGTTGCGTTCAGACACTCAATTTAAAACTTTCGTTTACCTAAAGGATGCATGTTCGTATGTGACCTAGTAATAATGCATGATTATTCATAACTATTCCGGCGGTAATGCAGAGATGAGCGGAATTGAAGAGCTAGATTCTGATTTATGTTTTTTCTCACACAGTCTTAATAAATAAATATTATTAAAAATTAGTTGTTTTTTTTCTCAATCTTAGTAAAATATTTTAATAAAAAAATCTGATGTTCTTTCTCACTTAATCTTAGTTAGAAGTTTTGTTAAATAAAATCTTCTTTTTGCTCACTCTACCTATTTGGTTTGAATTGACAGCTATGACGTCAAAATATGGCGCCCAGTCGCTCCTATTCTTAGTTGAATCAGCCTCTGCCTTTCAGTCTTAAAAAGTTTTACATTTATAATATAACAATAGTAAGGTGGTAGTCAGCAACAGTAAAGATCGAGACAGAATCACGCAGACTCAATATAATTAATAAAAAAAGGCTTTTTAATTTAAATTCATTTCACCGGGAACCGGACAATCAAGTTTCACGATAGCGCAAGATTTTTGAAATTAAAAACATCTTTAGCGGCGTTGTACACTTTTTTTGTATGGATAAAAAATGTTAAACCCGCGTCAGTTTAAACACGTGGGCTGATCGCATCATGACATGACACACAATAAAATTACAAAGGTTGTTGACTTTCAATGTATTGGACGAAACATAGTAATATTTTATTTTACCGTATTATAATAATAAGTCTCTATCTAGGACGTCCACGTGGCAGCTTTATTGTGAAGAAAATGCATTTTTTTACAATAGATGTCGCTAGGTGCGCTTAAGTGTGATTCATGTAAGTTGATTTCTTTAAAATAAATGTCGCTAAGTGCGCTTATACGTGATTCATGTAACGGCGCCATAGCTTAGTATCATCATCATCATCATCGTTAGCCCATTAATGTCCCCATTTCTGGGGCACAGGCAGTCCCTTTGGATGGAATAGGGAGACAGGGCCGTTACCCACTCCGGGATTGGTGCGTGCTAGCTACTGCAGATGTAGCTGGGACCAACGGCTTACCGTGCTTCGAAGCACGGAGGAGCTGGAGATAATCAGTTTTTTCGTTACCCATCCAATGACCGACCATTGCGAATGTTGCTTAACTTTTACGATCGCGAGCCGAATACGCTAAACATATGCGTCATCGAGCTCCTTCTTGTATCATCATCATCATCATCAGCCTATTCATGTCCCCACTGCTGGAGCAGAGGCCTTCCCTATGGATGGAATAGGAAGATTGGGCCATGACACACCACGCGGGCCTAGTGCGGATTGGCGGGTGCTGACGACTGCAGATGCAGCCGGGACCAACGGCTTAACGCGCCTTCCGAAGACTATATTCAACCGCAACGCCCTACCCCGCAGATTTAGGGAAAACTTTAGTAGTGAAACATCTTTACGCGCGCTTGACTTGATGAGTAAGCTGGCGAATGCGTTACGCGTTACGAAAACTATTTTCAGGTGAGGCGAACGGGAGTTGACTGGGGGCTATGTGCAAGAGAAAGCAGTGCGCGCGCACATTTTCTTTCTCTCTTTCTCTTATAGCTAGTAAATGAAACATGTTTGTGTTTACACATGTATATATTGTACATACACACACACACATATATATATACAGATGGAGCTAAAGAAGTTTCACTTCAGTCGTGTGGCCATAAGCACACTCTAGTAATATATGTTATTTACGGGATTGTTACCATGTACCTTGTTTTTAGCGAGTTTCCGATATTTCGGCACTGTTGCAAGCGCCATGATCACGAAGGAACAGTTACTCCCTGATCATGGCGGTCATTATTACTATAATGTTAGTGACCATGAAAGTTTAAAACAATATAAGCACACTCATTTTTTTCTCTTCTAAATATAATAAAAAGCAGTACTTTGCTTTCCCAAATAGACGTTCCAATAAATAATAATAATAAATATTTCCAACACACACACCAATTAGCCTAGCCCCAAAGTAAGCACTATAAGGCTTGTGTTATGGGATACTAGGGTAACGGATAGAATACATATACTGTACATATATAAGTATATTTATATAGAAATACATATTAAACATCCATGACTGGAGTACAAATGCACGTATTCATCACACAAACATCTGCCCCCACCGGGATTCGAACCCGGGACCTCTCGAGTCGGCGACACCATGAAACCCGGCGTACAAACCACTCGGCCACGGAGGTCGTCAAATCAATGAAAGCGGATAATCTGATTACGTGGTATACATGGGCGTAGCCAGGTACGGGCAGGGCGGGGCAGCTGCCTCCCCCCAGATCGTAGAGCTTCAGAACCAAAAATTAAATCTCTTATCTATTAGACAAGTCCGTCCGTCCGTCTGTCTGTGGTGCTGTTTCAGCGGCCAAACCGTAAGAGATAGATAAAGAGAATATTTAAGTTATAAGTTAAGAATAGTCTGATAAGACTACAAACCGGATTTGAGTAACGTAGCACTTCCGGTTTTCGAGAAATCACGAATTTCAAACGAAACCACAAAAAATCTCCGAAGCTCTCAATTAATTAAATACATATTTTTTTTTTGGTGAACATTTGGTTCACTGGTTTGCTAGTAATAAATAATTCAAACACTAAATATAAAATTTAAAAAAAATATAGAATCGCACATCACTCATTAGTCTCGTTACTAAAGCTCTAATTTCGATAGGACTAGGTACTCGTAAACAGTGAAGTGATTTCGTACGTACGTTAAGCATTTCTTGGACGTAAAATGATGGATATAAGGATATGATTTTATTTACTTTAAGCATTTAACTGCTAGATGTTTAAATCTAAAGAAAAGTTTACTAGAAAAAAATCCACGCGGACCAGGCAGCGGACGGGACTCGAACCCGCATCCTTCGCTATCCGGGCGAATGCACTGACCATTATGCTACCACGGCCCTATTGGATTTTTTTCTAGTAAACTTTTCTTTAGATTTAAACATCTAGCAGTTAAATGCTTAAAATAAATAAAATCATAACTATAATTGCTATTTCTGCTTTCAAATGTTTAATACTTGAAAAAGTATTCATTTGACATTGTGGGTTACCTACAATGCGAAGAGATGGCGCTGCCTTGCAGCTTAAGGCTAGGAAAATTTCGACGCGGCTAATAGGGCCGTGGTAGCATAATGGTCAGTGCATTCGCCCGGATAGCGAAGGATGCGGGTTCGAGTCCCGTCCGCTGCCTGGTCCGCGTGGATTTTTTTCTAGTAAACTTTGGATATAAGGATTTTTTTAAAGTCTGTAGTCTGTGTAATGTTACTGTGCGTACAACTAACAAGTATTAATGTATTATTTATTACTAGCAAACCAGTGAACCAAACGTTCACCAAAAAAAAATGTATTTAATTAATTGAGAACTTCGGAGATTTTGTGTGGTTTCGTTTGAAATAGAAATCACGTGATTTCTCGAAAACCGGAAGTGCTACGTTACTCACATCCGGTTTGTAGTCTTATCAGACTATTCTCAACTTATAACTTAAACATTCTCTTTATCTATCTCTTACGGTTTGGCCGCTGAAACAGCACCACAGACGGACGGACGGACTTGTCTAATAGATAAGAGATATAATTTTGCCGGGCCATCTGTCGTAGCCACACATTGCCGGGCAACTATGGCCCGTTTAGAACACAGGTTTAGAAGCATTATAAAAATAAGTTAACTTCGCTCTTGTTCTCAACACAACCCAACAGCTAAAATGTTAAGTGTCCAGCGAAAGATGGAACAAAAAAATTTACATGCACTTTCAGGTGAAGTCTTGAAACGGTTCTGCGAAGAACCGAGAAAATTGCTCTTGTTTATATAAAATTTAGTTTTTGACGTGACAACGTCTTAAATTAGGTTGCGGCTGGGAGTCACTTATGAAAAAGTGTAACGCTCGGTAACGTTACGATGAGTTTAAGTTTACATGTACAATGTTTTAGTAAACAAAATATATTTCTATAGTTAAAATTTGTGCAATTCTTATTTTCATTCAATTCCTTGTTCCTATTGTGCAATTTAATTATATTCATATCAATAAATATTCTACCGAGAAAATGACGTTGTCACGTAAAATCTTCGCCCGTAAAACCGACTTTACAGGCAACCATTTTTTTGTAGCGAACATATTAGTTTCACTTGCCTGCCCCCCCTTAAACTAAATACTGGCTACGCCCTAGTGGTATACAAAAGATCGATACATTCTACAAGTTAGAGCAGTACCTCTAGCACGAACCAAAATCGAATTCGTAACGTTTGCGAGTCCGAAATGTCATTGTCAAGTATGTACTGATTTTTAGTTCCCGTTACGTCCAAAGTGCCGCTGCTGTTCAAGTTTCCATACAAAATTTGACATTGACATTTCGGTTTGCAGACTATTCGAATTCGATAATGGTTCGTGCTAGGGGTACTGATGTCCCTATTATACAGTACTAGCAAACCAGTGAACCAAATGTTCACCAAAACCTGATTTAAAAAAATAGTTATTTATTATACAAGAGTGGAAAGTTCCTTTTTAACCGCGTGCTCGATTTGGATGACCGAGCAAGCGAAGGATTCTAAAGTTGAATCACGAGCGCAGCGAGTGATTCTAAATTAGAATCCTGAGCGTCAGCGAGGGAAACAAACGAGCACAAGGTGAAAAATCTTTCCACTCGAGTGCAATACGTAACTTTTCATCCCACCTCAGCGAGGAAATGACAAAATGAAAAAGAAAACAATTTATAATGACAAAATATTTAAGCAATAAAACGTGAAAAACTAGAATGGCGCGAAGCACGCAAATAAAACAAAGAAACCAAGAAGGTTCCAAATTTAAATTTTTTCACAATTTAAAAAGTTCTAATCATAAATTTGGCACCATAGAGGTTACATTAAATAGGTTTAATGACGTTTTGAATTTACAATTATATTGAGTACTCATTATATGTGATGTTCTAAATTCAAATCTACTTTGCCGCTCAAGCGAATAAAATAGAATTTTCCAGCCAGATTTCGAAGCGCAAAATTACACTTTCCGAGGTGGTGGGATGAAAAATGTATTTAATTAATTGAGAACTTCGGAGATTTTGTGTGGTTTCGTTTGAAATTCGTGATTTCTCGAAAACCGGAAGTGCTACGTTACTCAAATCCGGTTTGTAGTCTTATCAGACTATTCTTAACTTATAACTTAAATATTCTCTTTATCTATCTCTTACGGTTTGGCCGCTGAAACAGCACCACAGACGGACGGACGGTCTTGTCTAATAGATAAGAGATTTACCAATACGCGCCAGCAATAGTTTTTTAATACCTAATTATCAAATGTCTCTCAGCTCGCGTCTTCTCTTAAAACTCTCAATCCAGACTAAAATGTATAAATTTCCATAACTATTTTATCAACTAACAGATCCCATAAATCTGTAATCTCTTATCTATTAGACAAGTCCGTCCGTCCGTCTGTCTGTGGTGCTGTTTCAGCGGCCAAACCGTAAGAGATAGATAAAGAGAATATTTAAGTTATAAGTTAAGAATAGTCTGATAAGACTACAAACCGGATTTGAGTAACGTAGCACTTGCGGTTTTCGAGAAATCACGAATTTCAAACGAAACCACCCAAAATCTCCGAAGTTCTCAATTAATTAAATACATTTTTATTTTTTAAATCAGGTTTTGGTGAACATTTGGTTCACTGGTTTGCTAGTACTTTTATAATTCTCACCGAATGAACTACAGACATATGAACAAATTTCAAAATTCATTCATTCATTCAGTTCAGGCTGTTACAAGCACTTGTGAATGTCGAAAACGCCATTACGACATTTCGGTTTGCAAACTATTCGAATTCGATAATGGTTCGTGATAGGAAAAAAATTTAAAAGTGTTTTAAATGAGTGGCTGCTTAGCCTTCGATATGAAGATATCGAATCTCTTATACAGTAAAATAATAAATAAGAAATTATGTAAACCTACAAAATACAAAGAGAGATATATACACACACACACACACACAGACACACACAGACACACACAGACACACATACACTCACACACAGTCACAAACACATACGCAAAAACGTTGTGTGGTTGTTAATGTGGTTGATAACGTTTTACATTGTTCTGTACAAACTATTTAACTGCAAATAAAGATTTTTTTTATAGGAGTACAGCCCTCTCACCTCATATCGGATATTCTTTTCCGTTTCGCTCTTGTCTTTGTCTCTTTCCTTATATCTTCCGTCGTGGATGCTTATTTTGTGGTATCACATTTCAGTGATACCACCACTTAATTTACAATACACACAACACAGTCACAACACTATTATTGGAGCAGACATAATTATGGTGCGGAACTATGGTGTTTAATTGTTGGATCCATGGATCCTTGTTGATCATTTCACAGTGGCCTTCCGATGACTGCGGGCGCTTGCGCCGCTTGCCATAATGTTCAAATTGATCCCATCCGGTTGTATAGTTGAAGAGACAGTGTGCGGCTGAATAGTGTTGAATGTGTTATTGTACTAACGGGTTTACAAGTAAATTTGCAGGTGATATCTCTATACCACATCACAAAAAGAGAACTTCTAACTTCATTGAAATGGAAAGGAAAAAATATTTTTAAAGTCTAACTACGATGTACATGTGTTATGCAATATTATCTATGTTATTAATAACAGATTGAATATAAGAGAATGGTGTCAATTCCGACACGCTTCTTTAAACCTAAATTTAAATTTGACAACAGCGTATCCTTGTCATTCTCTATACGGAATGAAAAGGAGAGATTGATGTTAAATTTAGTATTAAGTTTAGAGAATCACGCCAGAATCGACACCAAACATCGACAAATCCAATCTAGCGATAAAACAAAATGTAAGGGATTGTTAAACAATTTTAAATGAAAACAGCCGAATGTTTTCGCGGAGTAAAATAATGAAGAAGTTAAAAATATCGTACAGTTTTGAAATTATGAGATGAGAGCTGGTACGCTATATGTATTTTATTAAGACAAGCTGTTGCCGTTGGTACTCGCGGTAGCGTTGTGGAACTAATGATATTTTATTGTGGTTATTAAATAGTTTTTTTTTAGTTATTTTGCCATGCAAGGTTTTACGCTACAATAACGTCATCTATGTCCATATTAATGTTTTCTTCTAAGGAATTTTCAATAGGTAAAAAAATTTCTTTAACCAAAGTTCAACGACTATTACTCGTAAACTAACAAATCTATCTTAACCGTTATAGTTTTATTCTTTTATTTTTTAAGCATGTAACTGCTTGATGTTTAAATCTATGAGATCTATCGAGGAGATGGCGCTGCCTTGCAGCTTAAGAATAGCTAGAGGAATTTCGACGCGGCCGTCAGGGCCGCGGTAGCATAATTGGTCAGTGCATGGGCCCGGATAGTGAAGGGTTCGAGTCCCGTCTGCTGCCTGGTCCGCGTCGAATTTTGTCTCGCTATAGTTTTCCTTAAAAATTGATGAAAAGCACTAATATCACCAATTTTATCCAGGTTTTTACCCTTGTCAGGACCACAGAACCCTAAAAATGTTGACAAGCAAAACAAACTTAATCAGTGAAATACAACAAAAGTGTTGACTGAGTGAATCAAAGTGCCCGATCAGACAGTGTAATTATTATTTCCTTGATATAGCACCGACAATCATGACAATCACTTAGATAAGTTTTACATTTTAAACACTTCATTGTAAAGATAACTTCTAATTTTTTTTTTGCTTCGCTAAGTCTGATGGTTATGAATCACTACAAAAAAAGCGAGCGAGCCTTACAGTAGTCGCTTATGATATGTAACGTGTGAAACCTCACCTTATATTAGTAAAAAAAAAACCTACTACAAAAGGAATAAGCCATTTGAACATTATGTTCTAAAATCAAAATCAAATAGCGCGCGCTTTGGCGACTTCCTGTTACACACTTCCGTCCCATTTCACGAAATCACTCAAAAAAATTGCGTGCCAGTTTTCACGTTAATAAATCGGTCGTCTCCAGGACTACAAGGGAAATAGTCGCATATCCAATTTATATACTCCTCGATGATTTGACCACGAGCGACTCTTTGTGTCGGTATGTTCTGCACAAATACATATATATATATAGTTATATATAGTTATCATCTTATCCTAAAACCGTTGACCTAATACCTAAAAAAACCAAATTTTCAAAATATTGCACTGGTCCGGTTCGCTTAAATATAAGTGCCGTAATTCGGTAAGCAAACAATATGTATGACAATATCTTCCGTCTCATCATTAACATATATACTTATAAATTCACCCGATATACTACGTTTTGGTTTCCAGTAAATTAATGCTGTATTTAAAAAAATGCATGTTTGTCGTGGAACACTGAAGGCAACGGTTGAAACGAAGTCAAAAATATTTATATGCCAGCCACCAATCGCTCTGGGACCCGGGATTTTGACAAACTTTTTAACCAAATTTTAAATCAAGTACACAGCCACCGCCGTCAGTTTTCACCCACCTAGCTGTCGATCAAGGTAAGGTCCGTGACGTTACTGCCTCCTTGTTTAGGTAAACTCTTTGCTCTTGCAATGCCTACGGTTGGCAGTTATATTAAAAAGTTAATGTCATGATTTTAAGATTTGAAATAAGGAATCATCTGTCTTTTGATAGAAGGTTCCATACAAGAGACGATCTTCAGGCACCGACCCTTGTGTAGCTTAGATAAAAATAATTGTATTCGCCTAAAATCTAATATAAAATAATAACCATCGTCAAATTGTTTCAATAAATCCCTACGCCCCTGAGTTTTATCCACTCTGGCTAGAACTTCTCAGTACCCACCCAGTTGCCTAGCTCGCTGCCCCGTTAGGTTATAACGGAAAAATCTTACAAAATTTGGCCAATCCGCCATCCATCGTCCGTCCGAAATGGAACTGCGCTCAAATAAAATTTAACAAGAAGTTCGATAGCGTAGTGGTTAAAGCATTTCGTCGCGATTGTGAATGTTGAGAAAACTCTCCAATGGCTCGGTTTTTAATACAGTTGATGGCTGGTCACAGTCATCACAGTGAATTATCTAGAACTCCACCATGCTTTGCCCATCGCAGGCGTCACCTACGCCAATAAGAAATAGCGACACATCCGTTTACAGCCGCTTGTCTACCGCGAGCCCGTCACGCCATCTCGATCTCATACAGAAATAAAAAAAAATGTGTGCGTGAGCTCCCACGCACGACTGGAGTTTACTCCTTAAGTTCGATAGTCTAACCAGACGCAAAAAGAGTTTATTTAACTTAAAAAAGATTGATACTGTATGAAAGGGTAAATTAACAAATTAATGAAAATAATATACATATATAAATATATATTTATTCATTTCATATACATTTTATTATAACTTATCGACGAAATATTTTATATTAAACTTTTTACAATAGTCAATTTCAGTTGTGCATAAATATATCATTAGGAATGTTGATAAAATATTGGTGAAGTTAGTAATCGTATCCATTACTCTTTCCTCTCTCTCAAGCGACTCCAATACTTTTTACCATTTAAAACCAAAATTATGTTAGCGCAATCACTCCTTCTTCCAATTCTCGACTACCCCGATGTCTGTTATCCTGATGTAAATGAAGAGCTACTCAATAAATTATAACGACTCCAAAATTTAGCCATACGATCAGTGTTGCCAGGTCGGATTTTCAAAAATCGGGAGGCGTTATAGAAAAAAACAGTAGATGTATGGAAAGAAAAACAGTAGATGCAGGTGTACTTTTTACGATTTGCACCCCCCCCCCCCCCCCCGAATCGGTAAATCAAATCAAGATAAAGACCAGTAACGAATGTGTTTCTGTGGCTTCTGCCGCCCCTCAAAGCTATTTTTTCTTTAGACAATTACATTTATTTTATAATTATTAAGGTTATTTACATTATTAATGACGAAAAATGCAACTCAACATGCAATTTAAAAAAGAAAATCGTATTCTAAAAAAACAGGAGATTCATGTAGAAAAACAGTAGAACAGGAGAAATTTCAGGAAAACAGGAGATCTCCTGTAAAACCTGGAGACCTGGCAACACTGCATACGATTTATATTTGGTCTGCGGAAGTATGATCATGTGTCAGCTTATCGCTCTCTACTTCAATGGCTCCCTATTCGTCTTCGTCGAGATTTGCATATGCTTGTCTTCCTATTGAAGATTCTCAAAGAGCCTAACTCCCCAGTATACCTGCGTTCCCGATTTAAGTTTCTTCCCCCTCCTTCACGCTCTAGACGACCTTGCATTACTAAGACCCTTGAGCTTCCTAAAAGTAATACAATCTCCTATTTAAATTCCTTTTCTTTTAGGTCTGCACAACTGTGGAATAAACTTCCGTCCAATATTCAGGAATCTCCGACCATCTTCTCGTTTAAGTGTAAAGTCCAAAGATCATTTTCTCAAACAGAAATCTCAAACTTAATGAATCATTCTCACGAAGTATCTTGTTTCTTATTTGTATTTATTTATCAGGATTATATGTATGTTATGTATATTTAGATAGGTATTGTATTTATCTATGAATATTTATGCAAGTTTATTTATGTAGGTGTATGTATTACATAATGTGTATAGTATATATATATATATATTATTTTTAGTTTAATTTTTATTGCACTTCCTGTTTCCCGCTAAGTTTTGAATCTCCGACACCACCTAGGTTGGCTAGAAGAGATCTCTTTTAGAGATAAGCCCACCTTTGCTTACTATGTATTTGACTATATGTTTTAAACTATATGATGCAATAAAGAGTATAATAAATTATGTATTTATTATTATCAGACTATTATCATTTTTTAATATATTTAATAATTAAATCAACATTGTCTGCATTATTAATTACAGTGACAAGTGGTTTATGGTAACTAAAATAAGACACATGGACGTTCGTAGATAAGTGTTTCACGAATCTTGAAAATACCGCATCAATGGGTGTACCATACCTCGTTGTCCCCATTGCTCTATCAGAAACAATATCTAAATTCAGTTCAGATTATAAAAAAATATTAATGTCAATCCGTCATCTTTGTTTGTCAAAGTTGCGCGACATAGGATGCGCACCAAAAACGTAACGAGGTCATTCATCAATAGATTTTACTCCTCACATTTTTCTCATACCGGGCCCCTTATATGCAAAACGATTCTTAAGGAGTAAACTCCAATAATCTCGTTCTCGATGACGGTCCGGAGACCAGGGCCTAATACGCCCTGGACCCGCGTGGTAGATGATGGTTCAGTCCTCTTTTGGTCGGCATAAACTCAAAAAACTCATAACTCATTTATTCAGTCTAGGCTGTTACAAGCTCTTGTGAAAGTCAAACGCAATGAAACATTAAAAACAAGCATTTTGTGACGCGCTACACATAAT